GGTTCTCCTGCCAAAGGATGTATCCCTCTGAAATGCCACCCTGTCCCTAGCAAAGGAAGAAAGATGTAAACTTGTTATTTAAATCATATATCTATTAACTTTCTTACTATTGATTTTCTTATTAAGTGAAAAGAATAAGCTTAGTAAGGGAAGACAGACTTGGTTAATATATTACTTAAAGCAAGCCCTGGGTTAGGGTCCACTCCTCCCCATAACTGCAATGGCCCTGCCTGGCCTAAGGCAATTTCTGCTTACAATGGACCATGAAGAATGCTAAGCTTCAGTGATCCTTAAGCAATAACAGAGGACCTGAGTTACTTAATCAATAACCCGAGTTACAAGTTTCAGGGTAATTACCTGAGTTTGAGGGAGAAGGGCTTTTTCCCAGGGAAAGGAAATAAAATGATTAAAAGTTCTGAGTACATCTAGTAAATAATGGCCCATATCAAGACCACAGTTAAAAATGAAGTCTCGGGTAATAAACGAGATAGTCTCCCTTCTTTCAGCTATTTTATACTAGCTCAAGAACAGCTACATTTTTATTAGGTTCACCCGTGCTGTGGTCTGAGGTATTATTGCAGGCTGGGTTCCAGACCACCCTAATAGAGCAAATGTGGCAATAAAGAGTCATAATCTTTTGCTAGTGAAGGGTCTTGCCTTCAATTTGTAAAAAAAAAAAAAATCTGCAAAGCACAAAAAGGCAACCCCTGTGAAGCGCAATAAGGCAAAGAGCAATAAATAAAATGAGGTCTGCCTGTACTAGCCATAGGGCAGGTCCAGTAAAAGAAACTAGCCTCCTTCCCCAGGATGTGAACACGACTTGCAAAGTGTTCCCAACGAGGCCCCCAAGTCTCCGAGGTAAGGGCGTTCTCCTTCTCCGTGTCCTAAGTACCTTGACCAGAGAAACTGCAGTTTGCGAACTCCTGGTGAAAGCACGCAGAAGGAGGGGCTGACAGAGGTTTGGAGCGGTAAAAACCGGCCTGAGCCTGCGCCTTCCCAGGGGAAGGATCCCACTGCTGCGGCCTAGCGAGAATGCCAGTCTCTGTTGTGCAGCGTGAGCCAGCCACCTGTGCAGTCCCAGACTGCGCTCCGGGAACCGCAGAGAGGCAGGCCACGCGGGAGGGCGGGGCACGTGCTGGGTGCTGGGCGCAGACGGCGCTGCGTAACTAGTTGTCACTACTTATGATGACACGAGCGGGGAGCGAGCCTCCGGGACTCGGGGACCAGGAGGGTAGAGGGGCTGGCAGAGGCGAACATTGCCCTGGAGTGGAGCTCAGAACAACCCGTAGTCCGGCCCTCTGTTCCCCAGGCGCCCACCTGGGGAGCCCCGGGGGTGGGCGTAGAGGGGTCTCGGGGAGCAAATCTGCTCTGGAGAAGGGGTGGGTCTGCGGTTCGAAGCAGGTCTGAGCGGGGCAGGCTTCCTTGGGGAGCGTCCAGGGGAGGGGGTAAGGTGGGGTTTTCGATGGAAGCGGGTCCCCTGAGGGGCGGGTCTACTGGAGGGAGGTGGGCGTTGTCCGCCTCTGGCCTGTAGGCTGCTGTCGGAGCGCGGAACCGCCTATTTCTCCTCTACCCAAAGTGGCGTGGGCCGGAGCTGGGACTTCTTCAGCGGAGCAGCGGGGCTCAGGTAAGGTGGGTCCCCTGCGGGACCCGGACCCCCGCGACCTTCGAGACTTCCCGCATTTCCTGCGTCGTCGCTTTCTCCCAGTCATGTGCCTACTCGACAGTCCCGGCAATGTTGTCAGTGAAGTCGGCTCACATGTGGGACTTTTTTTTTTTTTTTTTTTTTATTTTTTTTTATTTCTGGGCCCTTCATTCAGGTTCCGTTGGGGGTTCTGCTTCTTCCCTCTCCTCCTCTCTCCTGGGAAATCTCTGGTTGGGCGTCCTCGGATCTCACTCAGTGTCCCTGGACCCTTTACGTCCGCAGTGAAGAGTCGCCTGCACCTCTGCTACCTGTGAACCGAATCCCGCCCCTGAGAGTTGTGTGCGCACTTCTTCTCCAGTCTGTCTAATTTAATCTTCGGGCCTTGTCTAATCTTCGGGCCCCGTTTTTGTTTTTGTTTTCTGATTTTCCTAACTTATACTCATCTATACGCGGCCTAAGGTGATACTCATTAAGCCTATGGTAGAGCTGAAGCTTATGGAGGCGACATTGATGTTTTAGTGATTCTGGTATCTCATGCATTTGTTCAGAAACATTTACTGAGCACCTACGTTGATTCAGGCACTGCTTTGGTGGTGGGGACACAGCCACACCCCGCGCTGCTTGCTTTCTCTCGTCTAGAAGCCTAAGGTCGGCCGAAGTTTGCTGTATGCACACTTCAGCAGATCTTGGGATCTTAGAATTTTTGAGACACGAAGGAAGAGCATTTGCCCCAGGATGAGCAGCATAAAGAAAATCATGGGTCACACGAATGATAAGTGTGTCCTGGGAACTCATGAGATGGTGTCCTACAGCAGCAGAGAAGTAGAAAATTGCGTTGGAGACAAAAATTGGGACCCCATTACAGAGGAGGTCCTTCTACATTCCAGACTCTAATAATTTCCTGCTAAGCAGCAAATTATTAGAGTTTATTCTCTAGTAGTTGAATGTCTGTGGCGAATTTCCCAGAGATTGTTTATTTTGTAAAACCTCTTTGACAAGCTTGATCTTCTCTGAAATGTCAAACCTCTTTGACAAGCTTGATCTTCTCTGAAATGTAACTGATGTCTGAAAAAGTTATTTAGCAGAAGACTCTTATACAGCTGTCCCTCCAGTCAGTAGACATGGCCTTGAGGCCTTGTGAGTCCAGTGGTACAGAAGCCAAGGGACAGCTATGCAGAATTCCACATTCCAGTGGGGTCTCCCTTACCTTCCTCACCATCTGCCAAGGCCAAGGCCTAGCTCAGCTACCACCTCATTCCCTAAATCAGGGGTGTCTGACCTCTATTATGTCCTGTCTGTTTAGCATGTGGGCCTTCCTGGTGAGACTTGTGGGCTTCCTGTGTCTGTCTTCAGGGTTGTTGGTAATGGCTCAACTTGAAGGAGGCCTCTCGCACAGGTATGTTTCAGAGGGAAGGGTTGGGAAATTTCTCTTTGCACCGAAGGTGTACCTTGGGTTCCTGAAAGAAAGGCCTTTCTGATCTGCCCTTCCTGCTTGTCTCATGGGTAACAGCTCTAGGACTTCATGCACCTCCTTTGTCTTTGCAGGATAAATCAAACTCACCTGACTCCCACCAGCATGAAAAACCGCCATGTGGGTCTGAAAGTTGAGGGTTCAAACTTCACCCTAGATGGCTTTCCTTTCCTGATCATAGCAGGTACTATTCACTATTTCCGGGTGCCCAGGGAGTACTGGAAGGACCGTCTCCTGAAGCTGAAAGCCTGTGGCTTCAACACTGTCACTATGTGAGTGCTGCCCCCTAATAATTATTTGAAGAACCTTATAGTCTGAATTCCTAGGTCTGAGACTTTCTTAGATCAGTATAAAGATTGACCCTATGTGTACTTTCTTCATTATTCTTAGGATGTCTGAGTCCTCCTTCCTATCCTGAGAATCTCCTGTAGGTAGAGCCTGCTCTGAAAGGCCTCTCTCTAAACAGGGTCACTGTGGTTTGCGTGCAAGAATCTAACTTTCAGATACAATGGCCAGGACAGATGGCTGTAGCCCAGGTGGTCCCTAAGTACTGAAGAAGTCCAGTCAAGGAGCAGGCCTCGCTCCTTGGATATCCTTACTTGCTGTAGGAGTCATAGGTCCAGTGATGAGTTCCAGGATACGATACTGTTCTAGCAAATCTTGTCTTTGAAGATGGATTTCACTGAGAACCAGGCCTGGCACATAATATAATCATCTTCATTCTAGAAGCTGAAACTAACAAAAATAAGTAATTTCTGTCTAGCCTTCTAAGCTTAGAAGTGCTAATCCATTACTGTTGTGATATCAGTTTTAGTTTACTTTTCTTTTTGGCTATTTGATCTTTAAAATAGATTTAGAAGAAAAATATGTAGAATTTAATTTGGTGACTGTTGTGGGATGATGTTTTAAAGCATTTCCCCCCCTAAACTGTCATAATATCTTTTACACATCGTGTCATTTTTCCTCAGTATTTTGTTGCTTTGTATGGCAGTGATTCACAGACATTGAAATTTTATGAACTATTAAACGTTCAAAGACATTTGTGGTCTAAATAGGACAGCCAAGTTTTTTGTTTGTTTTAAGTATCATTGCTTAGAGAAGTAAAAATTAATACCATTATGTCATAAACTATAAGACAGTCTTAGTCACTCAAAGAGGAAGAAGAGCATTTTCTCAGAATAAAAGCAGCCTTATACAGTGAATACATTTATCATTATAAAAAGACTGCATTTTCTTTTTAAAAAATTATTAACAACTAATAAGCCAAAATTTTGCAGGGACAAACCTAGAGTCTGACAAAATCAGATTTACTGACTTTCAGGAAGTGGGTTCTAGAGAAATGGAGTGTCAGTCTCAACATCAATATGTTGAGAAGAAGGGACTTTCCAGCCAAAAGATTCTGAAGAGAGTCTAAGAAAAACAGAGATAAATTCTGGATTGGTTGTTGTTTCTGACACAGGATTAAAAGAAGTAGAGGTTAACTAGGGGTTGAGTGTTGTCATGAAGTGAGGGTAGTTTAGCAATTGGGCCTACTTAAGCATAGATAGGTATAAAAAGGGGACCTAGATATGGTGAGAAAGCAATTGTCACTCAAAGAGGTAACATTGACAACTGCTAAACAACCTTGAGAAAAGCAGCGTTTCCTATTTTCATGTGGCTTTATCTGTGTCTTCCTCCCAGTCTGAAAATGGCAGGGCTGTTTTTCTTTTTAGTCAAGCTAATTTTCATTCTTTCATTCTTGAACAAGTTTTCAATCATTAATAGTTCACTATGGATTCATAAACACTTCACCTCAGAATCAGTACATCTTGACTAGTGTTTGAGAACACAATGATGGGTTTTATTTATAGACTATTATTGGTTACATTATATTACTTATTCATACTTGTACCATCACAATACTTAATTATTCTATATTTGTGTTTTAGTTATGTTTGCACCCCCTTTTTCTAACTATAATATTGGGTTTCTAGTTTTATACTCTGCTTTAATATCTGATAGGCTGGGTTGCTTTCTCAGCTTTTCATTTTCTTAAAGAATTATTTTCTTTGCTATTTTTTCTTTGGAATGATAGAGTGTCCATTTCCTTTCCTCTATTAGCTTGAGAAATATATGCTCTTTTACTGGATACTCAGGATCCTTGATTTATTAACTGATGTTCTCTTGTACTTTTACTTGTTCTTTTATCCACTTTTTAATGCAAAGACATTACAATCCTTTATCTCTAGTAGTTACTTCTCTCTTGAAGTGTATGCCATTGTTCTTATGTATTTTAATTCTAAATAACAAGACTGTTTTTTTATGTGTGAAGAACACAGTTAAATTTTCTGTAGTGTAGATTTGCTGGGGACAAAGTTTTAGCTTTCGTTTATCTGAAAATGTCTTCATTTCCGAGGAATATTTTCACTGGTATGAAATTCTAGGTTGACAGTTGTTTTCTTTCAGTATCCTTAGATATGCCATTGCCTTCTGGCTTTCATTGTCTCTGTTATAAAGTCAGCAGTGAATTTAATTGATGCTCCTTAGAGGGCAATACATCTTTTTATTTTTTGTAGTTTCTTTGAGGAATTAAAGAATTTATTTTTATTAATATACATTATTTTTTAGAGTTTTAGTTACACAGCAAAATTGAGCAGATAAGTACAGAGGGTTTGACCCCTGGGGAGGGAATAGGGGCTTAAGATTGAGTTAATTACCAATGACCAATGATTTCATCAATCGTGCCTACATAATGAAGCCTCCATAAAAACTAACTGAAAGGGTACAGGGAGCTTCCAGGTCGGTGAACCCATTGAGGTGCTGCGAGGCTGATGCACCCAGAGAAGACATGGTAGCTTCATGCCCTTTCCCCTTACCTGGCCCTATGCATCTTTTCCCTAAGGTTGTTCCTGAGTTATGTCCTTTATAATAAACCAGTAAACCAAAGTAAGTGTTTCCCAGAGTTCTGTGAGCAGTTTTAACGAATTATCAAACAGGAGGAGGTCTGATTTGTAGCCAATCAATCAGAAAGTATAGGTGACAGTCTGGAACTGGCATCTGAAATGGGGATGGAGAGAGTCATGGGAGCTGGGCCCTTAACCTGTGGGGTCTGTGCTAACTCTAGGCAGTTATTTTCAGAATTAGGTTAAATTGTGAGACACACAGTTGCTATCTGCTTAGAGCTGGAGAAATGCTTGGTATGGGAAAACCCACAAATCTGGCGTTAGAAGTGCTGTGTGACTAAAGGAAAACAAGTTTTCCTTGAAGTTGGCAATTTTTTTTCCTTCACACTTGAAAAACATTGTGCTACTTCCTCTGGCCTCCATAAAACAGGGTTCTATTCTGTGTCTCATAATTGTCTATAATTCCAAGTGAGATTCCTTTGTAGGTTATACATCATTTCTCTCTGGATGCTTTCAATTTTTTTTTCTTTATTTTAGTTTTTTTTTAAAATCTTTTAATAGGAAAATAAAAGGTAGTTTTTAGAGCAGTTTTAGGTTTACAATAAAAATGAGAGGAAGGCACAGAGGTTTCCCATATGACCCCTGCCCACTCCCTTTTTATCAACATCCCTCACTAGAGTTGTACATTTGTTATAGCTGAAGAACTTAAATTGATACATTATGATCACCCAAAGTCCATAGTTTACATTACAGATCAGTCTTCATTTTATAAATTCTATGGATTTGGACAAGTGTATAATTACATATATCTACCATTATAGAATTATAAAAAGTAGTTTCACTACTTCTAAAATCTTCTGTTCTCCACCTTTCATCTCTTTCTCCCCCTAACTCCTGACCACCACTGATCTTTTTACTGTCTCCATAGTTTTGCCTTTTCCAGAATGTCATATGGTTGGAATCATATAGTATATAGCTGCTTCAGATTGATTTCTTTCACTTAGTAATATGCATTTAAGTTTCCTTCATGTATTTTCATAGCTTGATAATTCACTTGTTTTAATGCTGAATGGTTTTCCACAGTCTGGATGTACCATGTTTATTTATCCTCATCTGCTGAAGGACATCTTGGTTTCTTCTGAGTTTGGACGATTACGAATAAAGCTGTATACATATACATGTGTAGATTTTTGACTCATTTGGGTAAAAATTGGAGCTTATATGATAAGAGTATGTTTAGTTTTGTAAGAAATTGGCAAACTATCATTCGAAGTTGCTCTACCATTTTGCATTCCTATTAGCAATGAGTGAGAACTTCTGTTGCTTCAGTCTCACCAGCATTTGGTATTGTTAGTGTTCTGGATTTTGGCCATTCTAATTGGTATGCAGTAGTATCTCACTTTCATTTGAATTTGCAATTGCCTAATGATATATGATGTTGAGCATCTTTTCATGTGCTTATTTGCCATTTGTATAAGTTCTTTGATGAGCTACCTATCTGTATAGATCTCTTGCCAATTTTTAAATTGTATCATTATTCTCTTATCATTGAATTTTAAGAACTCTTTGTATATTTTGGATAATAGTCCTTTATTAGATATGTCTTTTGCAAGGATTTTCTTCCAGTCTGTGGTTTGTCTTCCCATTCACTTGACAGTGTCTTTTGCAGAGCAAATGTTTTTAATTTTAATGAAGTTCAACTTAATTATTTATTTCATGTATTATGTCTTTAGTGTTTTATTTAAAAAGTATTGCCAAACACAAGGTCATCTAGATTTTCTCCTATGTTATCTTCTAGGAGGTTTATAGTTTTACATTTTACTCCAACTTATTTTGAGTTCATTTTTGTGAAATGTTTAGGATTCATGTCTACACCATTGTTTTGTGTAGATGGATATCCTGTTGTTACAGTACCATTTGTTAAACAGATTATCTCTTCTCTATTGTGTTGCCTTTGTTTCATCGTCAAAGATAAGTGGGCTGTATTTATATGAGTCTATTTCTAGGCTCACTATTCTATTTCCTTGATCTATTTTCCCATTCTCTTACCAACATGTATACAATATCTTGATTTCTGTAGCTTTATAGTAAGTGTTGAAGTTGGGTAGTGTCAGTCCTCCAATTTTTCATTGCTGTCATATAGTAAAATGACTGACTTTTATATATGAACTTTGTATTTTGCAACCTTGCTATAATCACATATTAGTTCAAGGAATTTCTTTTTCTTTTTTGGTCAATTCTTTTGAATTTTCTCATAGACAATTATGTCATCAGTGAACAAAGAAAGTTTTATTTTTTCCTTTTCAATTTGTATATCTTTTATTTCATTTCTTGTGTTATTGCATTAGCTAGGATTTTTAGTAGTGTTGAAAAGGAGTGGCAATTACGCC